GCAAACTATATACGTTTACTTGACCACAGAAAATGCAGATGAACCTGAAAACATCCAATGAAGTGAGCAGATCCAAGTGGAGGAAGTGTAAAGAGCTGTGTGATTCTTTCCTCATCTCGCTCTTGGAATTCCTTAAAAAGAGAGGCAGAAAATCAAGTACGCAGATTCACCCTCATGTGCAAATTTGACAAAGTTGTATTCATTAACATGATTTAATTAACATGAATAAATGAATAATAATACATGTTAACCAACCAAGTTATGGCAACAAGAAAAATTAAGTTATGAGAAGTAGAGAAATAAATTCAACCCATGCTCGTTCTGAAAACGTACCTCTATATCCATTTTTGAAGAAAGCAAAAGTTTTGCAACTATCATGGGAACAGAAAAGAGACCTTCACTTCGAATTAAACCTTTAAATTTACATGATAGGACTTACGACCCTACTGTAATGTACCTAAAAGTCGAATTGCCTTGACTCATCAATTGCGCGTAAGAGTTTTTTTTTCTTAGTTGATGAATTATCGCATCATTAGCAGGGAAATATTTAAGAAATATGCAAAGTAAACAGTTGTTTATCTCAAAAACAGTGCTAAAGTCAGTTATTCTCCTATGAAAATGTACATTCACTGTGTCTGTCTTTGTTTTGGTCTTTATAACCCACCCACTGCCAGTTTACCAATTTCATTTCAGTCATGAAGGCTGCCTCTCTAAATGTGTTATCATCCAATGGCAATTTGTGTGTGTGGTCAATCACACATCCAGGTGAAAAAAAAACCCCTCTCCAATATTTGGAATTTGGACTGCAATACCTGGTTCATCCACTATTTGTTAAAGCTTCAGACTAATAGAATGGAGGAACTATGACGTCACCTTGTAGGCTAATCGACTGCTAGCATAAAACTGATTCCCTCGATAAAATCCCTGTAGGATTTTCCGAAGATTGTGAATAATAAGCTCTGTGTTCAAACACTGTTCATTATACTTATTTGTGTTCCTGACAAATGATTAACTCTCTCAGTTCATTATATTATAATCCACGCTATATATTAGAAACAAATAAATACGCAAAAACACATAGACCTACATGCCTTTTGGATAGTTTTTTTTACGTGAGAAATGCATTTTGTTTTGCTTTATGGTTGTCGTAAAAGTTTTAAAACTATGTATAAATATGCCTACATATTATCATAAGACTTAAGTGTACCGCTCGTGTGCATACAGTCTACTTACCTTAATAGATGACAGAAATGAGGCGTGAGGAACAATTCTATCAAATGCCTGCAAGTTCCATCATAGATAGAGAATAACATTTGTTGGGAAAAGGAATGTGTTTTTTATTATTATTATTTCTCTCTTTTTTTCTTTTAATTAAACAATTGTTTGTATTGTTTGTTTAAAGGTCATAAGTTAACTGAACTTCTACTGTTGTGTGGGATGCTGTGCATACTAATTAGCATTTTTGCAGAAGTAGAGCTTATAGAGATGAACAGGCCTGATTGTTTCAAATTAACTTTAGCTGGGCAGCTAGAAACTTTCTGTCAGCAATATTTTTAACTCTGAATATGTGCAGTTGAAGGGCTACTTGGAGGTGCAGTGGGTAGCGCTCTGGCCTCATAGCAAGAAAGTTGCTGGTTCGAGCATCAGCTGGGTCAGTTGGCATTTCTGTATGGAGTTTAAATGTTCTCCCCACGCTCGCGTCTGAAAAAGGGGTTGCATGCAGAACTGTTGCAAGCAATTTATTTGTGCTAAATTTAAACAAACAAATTAAACTGAATAATGTTCAACTTAAGTTGTTTGTTTAAATTCAGCACAAATAAATAGTTTACAACCACTTAACGTAAAAAAAATTAGTAAATCCAAAGAATCATCTTTGAATAATGTTTTTTAGTGGGTGCTCCAGTTTCCCCAACAAGTTCAAAGACAGGTAAATTGGGTAAGCTAAACTGTCCATAGTGTATGTGTGTGAATGTGAACATATAAGTGTTTCCCAGTGATGGGTGGCAGCTGGAAGGGCATCCTCTACGTAAAACATATGCTGGACAAGTTGGCGGTTCATTCTGCTGTGGCAACACCTGATTAATAAAGGGACTTAGCCAAAAAGAAAATGAATGAATTCCACAGCATGCTTTAATTGTTGTGCAGAAAATTAGTAGAAAAAGAGGACTTGTGTCTGGGGTGCGGCTGGAGAATGATTGACAATCAACGAATTTCTCTAAACTCCACCTGTTAATATCAGTTGCCTAAATAAGTTGAAGTCAGGAAATGAAAATTGTTGTGCACCTCCTGAATATAACGTTTGCATCGCATTGAGGATAACAGAATTCTGTGAATCGAATTATTAATTTCATTCATTCATTTTCTTTTTGGCTTAGTCCCTTTATTAATCTGGAGTCGCCACAGCGGAATGAACCGCCAACTTAACCTGCCTGTTTTACGCAGCGGATACCCTTTCAGCTGCAACCCATCTCTGGGAAATTAATTATTTTGTATCCAATAAATTAAGATTTTTGACATTGAAGAAAAACCTCTCCTGATCTTTTTTATTGAATATGCATGGAATTGATTGAATATTCTATAACACATCCAATTTTCTTTTTTGGTCATGAATTTCAGCAAAAAGCAGCCCATACAGTCACATATGCTGAGGAGGTTTTCAATTTTAAGGAGGAGTGTAAATATTGCAGTTATGACAGAGTTAAATGAGTTCAGAAAAAAAAAAAAAAAAAAAACGAAGAAAAATCAATTGATCACATTAAAGTAACAGTTAATATGGATGTATTTCTTACACATTTATTCACACGTTTGCATTACTGAGGGCAGGAAAGAGACAGGTTGCACTGGTAAGCAGTATCCTTATAATATCATTTAATAAAAATAAAGGACCAACAAATCTGTCTTGACAGTCTTTACAAGTGAAGGCATTGTCTACACACAATTTGAATTTCCATTTAGAATTACAAACTATAAAATAGTGTTTATGAAAATACTTAAATAACAGACAAATCCAAATGCCCAAAGCAAGCCGGCTGCGTTCCAGACCAATTCAGCTCAATAATGTACACTACAATGTCTCCAACACCGCATGTAGTCCCAATGTAACCGATTTAAAAAATCAAGAGTGTAACGTAACTGATGTGTTTTATGTCGTAGAATGGTTTGGAAGATCCATCCCTCACTGACAAAGGTCCAGAATATGTCTCATATATATAAGGTCATTTGTTCTATTTTGACTGCTATGCCATTATAAAGATAACCCATTGAAAAAGGCTTTAAGACCAAACAGAATTCTGGTTGGACCTCAGTTAGTTTTGGACAATGAGTCTAACATCCAGCTGTGCAAGAAAACATCTGCCATAAGAAGAGTCATCTTTCGCTACTGTATTTCTTTTAAATAGAGAAAACATTTTTACAAGTATCTTTTATTAAAAATTTTTAAAAATGACCAATAAAAAAGTGTGAAGCACAGAAAGCAGACCATATATTAAAATCAATTTGAACACTATTTTGGCTATTGTTGTTATCCATGTATTTTTTTCCAAGAGAGGCTAGAAAAATTGTAAAGCTCTAAATTATTATTATTATTATTATTATTATTATTAATAATAATAATAATAATAATAATAATAATAATAATAATAATAATAATAATAATCATAATAATAATAATAATAATACTTTTTTTTATTCAAATGGCTGACTGAGGAAAGTTGATAAATTCAGTAGCAGCAAATTTAGTATTTAAATCTCATAATTACATAGAAAATGATGCAAATAACTGCAAATATTAGAGAAAAAAAGAACAAGCCCTTTTACCTGCATACTGCACTTTTAATGCTTATGCCTTCTTTTTTGAGCTTGATATCTCTGGTTATTAAGTTTTGAAATCTTATAACTAACCTTATTTGTGTTCCACAGAAGCTTGTGGTTGTATCTAACAGCATAAAACAGGACTAAGTGCACATAAGGTTGAAAACACAGCAATTTATCTGTTCAACAGAGCCACGAAATTAGTTAAAAGAAAGACCTAACAGCCCTACACTAACTCAAACCTTTATATACATCTGCTTTCTTAAACATTTCTCTAGTGAATTCTTTTTTTAAAGAAGCAAATAATACATTTAATCTAGTTTTCTTATTAAGCTAGGTTGTTCTTTAAATCAAAATAACCTCTTGATTTACTTGCAAAATAAAAAAATAAAATCCAGTGAGCCATTATTACTAAGCCACTTCAAACATATTTAGGCATACTGAAGTGCTAATATACAGTCCATTTTAATGTGGTTTCTCACCAAATAAATAATTTCTTATATGAGATTTAAACTATTTTTTTATTTTGTAATCCATTTCAGTGTACAAAACAAAAATATTGCCAAAAAGATGAGCACCACAAAAGCATTACAGACTGCATTTTCAGTTTAGTCAATACATTAGATGCAAGATTGCAGCAGCTGATTTATAAAAGCTGCGAAGAGCATGTGTACAATGTTTGAGATGTAAAATTAGATTTGCAATCTATTATACAGACCTGCTATTAATGGTGGTCATTATTAGAAAATATCAGACCTTGATACATCATAACTGACCAAAGAGGTGTATAAAGTGCTTCTGTGCTCAACATATATAAGTACACCCCTCACAAATCTATCTTTTAAATGTATAGTTTTAATAGGAAGCTGTGCAATATTATATTTGTGCATATATACATTAGATTAGTCAGTACTGAAGCCAAATCTGGAGCTTATCTAACAAAATTACTTACGATAACGGTCCAAAAAATAGCAAAGCCTAATGTATATGTTATAGAAAAATATTACATACAAATAATAAAAAAAGAGTAAAAATCAAGAGAATAAAAAAAGGTTGTAGGTTGTATTTTTTTCTATATTTTACTTAAATTTAATTGTATTATCTTTAAATTTCTAAATATGTTTGTTGACCAAAATACTCTTTTAATAAATATATCCTTTTAATAGATCTGTTTTGTTAAAATGCACCAAAATACATTATTCACTGAGAAATGGATAAAATATTGATTTTCAAAATGGGGTGTACTCAGTTATGCTGAGCACTGAATATACAGTAGGCTTCCTTTATGTTCCTTTTTAGCGGTCAAAGTCATCTAAAGACTAAAAACCCCTGCTTATGTATACTTAGACTTGACCAGATACATTTACATTTTTTAATTGTAATTTTAAGCTTAACATTATAACAAAACTTTTTTGCTTCTTAAAAAGTAACTGGTAAAATACTCTTCTCACAGATCCATTGATAAGAAGCATCACAATTATGATCAATCCATCCTATTAACTCAGGGTGTCTTTTTAAATGAGTCAAAACACAGTTCTCTCTTGTCCCTCCATTGGGCTCAGTTATTGATCGAAAGGAAGCCCAGAACCTGCAACAGATCAACATCAGATGTTCAGTGCTGCTGTGTGATAATGAAACTGGCCACGAGAATCATTTGTTAGATCATAATCAGTTAATTCAGTGATTTCTCACCCAGTGGTCAGTGTACTGCCATCAACCCATTTCCATTGGCCCTCTTTTTCACTGTCAGTCAGACCAATCCAGAATTCCTTATTACGAGTGAGGGTCATTACAAAATCCTGAGCAGATGAAACAATGCAACATTTAAATAATCAGCAGACAATTCATCTGACCATCTCATACTTTCTACACACCATAAACACACAGATCTCTCACTCACTTGTTCCTGTCGATTGTTTATGGTGATCAGATCTGCTTTTCTGCCTTTACAGTCTCCTCTGCTGTCAGTCCAGCTCTTCGACTCATTGGACAAGTAGTAAAAACTGGATTGAAAGTAAGTCCACCCAGCTGTTAACAGATCAAGTTCTGCTGTTAGTTTATTAGTTCTGTTTACAATCACACACCTGAAACTTACAGTAGATGATGAACATTTATATGTGGCCCTGGACAACTAAATCGTCCATTGTCCATTGTTTCGGAAATTATAAATTATCTAAAGGGTGATCAAATAGTCTTTCCATGGATGTATTAACTGTTAGTTAATAGGGCGAACTGAGATACAACCATACGCTTAGTTCACGCGGCCGTTTAAAAGATGAAAGCGAGGCTGTGGTGGGAAGAAACCCGGAAGTATAGGATCAGCACTGTAAACATTGCAACAACCTGCTGTGGAATACAAACCTCCAGCTGTTGCCGTGCAGATATAGTGTAAACATTACTTTAATATCATACAGTTAAGTTTAATTTAAACTATAAAAGCATATTAGGCATCAAACAATCATAATCCTTTAAGAGTAATGCTCTTAAGGGCATACTCACACTATGTACAGTTGCCTTGAACTAGGCCAAAGCACGCTTGTATCCCCACCCATCTCCCCCGACGGCCCGGAATCACATTACACTCGGGCCTGGGCACGCTTACGTCATTGATGCGCTGTTCGCAGCTCTTGCTCAGAACAGTTGAGATTTCTTTAGTTATATAGTTTCAGTGGTTTGGTATGCGGTGACACGCAGTCAAATATTTCGCCGAACAGATCAGCCACTTTGACACTCAAAAACGTGCCTGAGCCCGATTCAGCGCACTCATACTTCTCAAACGATCCAAAAAACGGGCCTGGGCACGGTTTAGATAGCATAGTGTGAGTAGGCCCTAAGTGTTCTCTTAGGCATTCATAGCACCAAATAAACACAGCAGGGACGCTTCCCTGCTTCACCCTACACTCTCAGAAATACGCGTACTTAAAGGGTCCATATTGGTACCTCAAAAGTATTCATACCTTAAGAGGAACACTTTTGTACTTTTTAAGTACTAATATGTATCCTTGAGGTATTAATATGGACCTTTAAGGTACAAATTAGTACCTTTTCAAAAGGTACTATCCCAGTGACAGCTCGCATACCTTAATTTCTGAGAGTGTATGTAATCTGGTGAGCGATAAAACAATGCAATCCCCTGTATCACACCCTTTTGTTGTCTGTAATAGGCTTGTCCTGGTGCTCAAATTTTAAAAACGTCCATTTCTCGCTACCATTTAAGCGCTGTTGAGTGCGTTCCTAAACAGTGCTGCTTTATCATAGTATTCACCAGTGCTCAACAGAAATGACTGTGATTGACCGTGAAAGTCATCAGTTCACTGATCTTCACCGAGTGCAAATACAGGGACACTGGATTTTAAAGCCGTGAAGATCAGTCGATTGCTCTTCTGTGTTTGCTCTCTGTAAACATCCATGAAGTGCAGTGAACTGATGACCTTTATGGCCACTTAGGCCGTACTCCCACTAGGTACAGTTGCCTCGAACCGGGCCAAAGCACACTTGTCCCCCCTCCCGTCTCCCCCGACGGCCCGCGCTCACACCACAAACGGGCTTCGGCACGCTTACGTCATCGCTGCTGCGCTGTTCAGTGAGAAGCGCTCTCTCACTCAGCAGCACAATGGAGATTTCTCTAGTTATATCGTTTCAGTCGTTGGATATGCCATCAAATATTTCGCCAAACAGTCCTTAGGGATGCGGGGACACGCAGTCAGATATTTCGCCGAACAGATCCGCCACTTTAAGCGCTCATAAACAATCATAAAGCTCTCGTGCTGCAGGAATGAGGAGGTCTGCTGAAGGCGCGCAGCTGTCGTGCAGTGAGGGGTTTGCGTCTTAAATAAACTACGGCAGTTTGCGTTCACTGAACAGTAAGAATTATTAATAAATCCATATCAAACAGTCCCTTAAAAGTCACGACTCGCTTTCAGTTTCGGGCTTTGGCGCGTTTTGCACTCACACACAAGCATACCGCACCAAAGCCCAAGTGAACCGGGCTCAGGCGCACCTCTTCCAACCAGGCCAGGGCCGGCCAAGTGAACCATGTTTGAGCACGATTCAGCGCACTCACACTTCTCAAACAATCCGGGAAACGGGCCTGGGCACGGTACGGATGGCATAGTGTGAGTAGGCCCTCAGTTATTTTTGTTGAGCACTGGTGGATGGCAAATCAGTGGTGTTTAAGAACATGCTCAATGATGCTTAAATGTTAGCAGGGAATGTCAGTAACGAAATTCAGTATTGTAACAATTTAAAATAGTAAAAGAATCAGTTCATTCCCTTAAGTTTGATAAATGACATCTATGATGTGTATTTGGGGAGCTTCCGGGTTAAACTTCCAGCTTTCCCACCGCAGCCTCAGTTTCGCTTCTTAAAACAGAGGTCATGTGAAATCAGTCTATTGTAAAATCTGTAATCTGAGGCTCAAAACAAATTTGTTCATTTAAGGTTCCTTTCAAATATATTACTTATTAAAAAATGTATTTTTTTGAAAGGATGGAACATGATATTTACTTAAAACTCTAAAGATTTTTGGCACAAAATAAAAATCTTCAATTTTAGATCCATATTATTTAATGTTGGCTATCCATAATGAAGTATTATGAGTACAATCATCTCCAATATGCTCTAACTGCACATATTAAAGACATTTACCAATAATCTGATGTTGCTGTATAAGTTGCTCTCTGTCTTTCAGAAGGTTTTCAATATTTGTCAACAACTCATCTTTGTTTTCTGTGAGGTTGGTGATTTTAGTTAGTAGCTGGTGTCTCTCTTCAGGGTAGTTTGGCTGGTTTGTATAGATGTACACGCTCAGCGCTATGACTGCAGTCAGCAGAAGAAAACATAGCAACACCAAACACACTAAGGCTGCTCTGGAGCTTCTCGTCTTCACTGGATTGCTTCCTGAAGAAGGCAGACATTAATATAAATGTTTGTTTTTTTATCAGACAAAACTGAAAGTGTTGATAGATTGTCTATTTTAGTACGTAATATGTTGAGTGTGCAATCATACAAATTTAATGACTTGTGCGTGAGCCCCTGCAAACTCAGTGAGTATAAGTCAAACAGCTGAAACATCTGTTTAAGATCTGTTTAACATCTGTCAGATTCACAGTGCAAACAGCTCCCGGTAGGAATAACTCGAGTGAACATAAAACAAAGCCGATTAAAACTTTCTTCTTCTGCTCAGCTGCACAGAACACAGCGAGCTCACATAATCCAGCATGCATGTCAAACTACACTACCCACAATGCACTTCGCTATGGACTACAAATCCCGTAAATATTCTATTTGCCCTCTCCTACAACACTAGTGTGCAACTTAAGCAAAACTGATACTAAAATTGTTTTACATTTGGTTTTGTAGTTCGGGCCTAAATAAATGTTTGTTGCCGTTTTTAATCGCTTTAAGTTAATTTGAATGACTATACTGTATATAAACCATTTGACATTATTAACGCATTTATTGGGTAAAATTGCTACTTTTTACTGTCATTCAATGTGTTTTGGTCATTATCAATGCACTGTCACTTTAAAGACTAAAAAGACTTTTGCTGCATGTTTAAACTACTTATTTACAATCTCCAGGTTGGAGGAAAGTCCTTACCCCAGGTGGAGGAGTTCAAGTATCTTGGGGTTTTGTTCACAAGTAAGGGCAGGATGGAATGGGATTGATAGGTGCATTGGTGCAAGGGCAACACTAATGTGGTCGATGTAACGGTTTGTTGTGGTAATAAAGGAGCTATAGCCGGAAGGCAAATCTCTTGATTTATCAGTCAATCTATGTTCCTACTCTCACCGGTAATAAACGAAAGTACAAGATCTCGGATACAAGCGGGCAAAATGAGTTCCCTTCGCAGGGTAGCAGGGTGCACCCTTATAGATAGGGTGAGGAGATCTGTCGCCCAGGAGGAACTTGAAGTAGAGATGCTGCTCCTCCACATTGAGAGAAGTCAGCTGAGATGGCTCTGGCATCTTTTTCGGATGCCTCCTGCACGCATATCTTGGGAGGTGTTCCTGGCATGTTTCTCTGCGAAGACCCAGGACACGCTGGAGGGATTATCTCTGGGAATGCCTTAGGATCCCCTCTTAAGTTTTTTTTTTAAATAAACCTAATAACTTTATGTTCAACCTACTTATTATTGTGAAAAGTATTAGGTTAACCTAATCGATTTGTGTTCGGATGACATGAAGGAAACGTGTGTAAGCCAGCATTTTATACAGTGTATAGCTGGAAGTGCCCTTGAGCAAGGCACCTAATTACTAATAGCTGCCCACTGCTCTGTGTGTCTGGGTGTGTCCTTGTGCTTATTGTTTATGTGTGTGTGCTCTCACTCCTCACTCACAATGTGTGTGTACACTTGGATGAGTTGAAAGTAGAGGACCAATTTCTAGTATGGGTAAAAACCATACTTGACCAGGCTCACTGCACTTTAATCTTTTGATTCAGTTCATGAAATTCAGTGAATCAGCTGCAGCACTTTTACATATAATAAAATCAGTGAATAACTTGCATTTCAGATTGCTTCCCCCAAGCTATCAAATGACAAAACAAACAATTACATAAAATAACAATCACACATTGTAGCCACTTTCTGATTTTTACAGTCACTTAATGAACTGTCACTTAATTTTTACAAATCACAAATACAATACACAAATATATAAAGGAGACTAAAGTGATTACCTGTATTTTGAGGTGGTTGTTGTGTGTTTGAATTAGTCCGATAGTCATGGTTTCCCACAGAGCCTGCATTCACATACATATCCTCCATCTTCACCCCTCGCTCTCTGTTCATTCCCTCAGACTCCGTCCCGTTCACATTCTTATAAATATCATCATCCATGTCTGCTCTATAGTGTAGAAAAACTGTTATGATTGTTGTTCCTGTTTAGATGTGTTATAGTCAGCACTTTTCTTCTTGTTAACACGGTTTGTTAAACACGTGGTTAGTATACAACATCAGATTTGACATCAAACACATCCTGTAAGATTAGAAGCATCTATAAAGTCATGAATTTACATTAAAATATTTCCTCAGCTTAATACTTTTTTAGCAAATTCAAATAGTTAAAGGTATAATTAAAACTATGTTTCACTTTACGTCTATATTTTTGTGTGTGAATTATAAAAGGAAGTGAGATCTGTTTTTCTATTGCACAATTATGTCGGGTTTTGTGATTTTTTAAGAGGACTTTTTGAGAATACCAAAAGGGAACTGAACAAGGCTCAAATTCCCAAATAATGCAAACTACCACTTAACATCAAGGCATTATAACCAGATCTTGCAATTACTAAAATTAAAACCAAAATTAATCTGAAAATAAAGTGTGCATTCTTATTTATGATCGATATTTCAAACAAATTATTGATTTAATCCAAAACTGTTTTTAAATTTCTCTGTTGATCAAGATTGGGGGTGCCTATGGAGACCTGGAAGGGACATGATTGTGGGGGAAAAATAGGTGGAAGAAAAAAACTGAGGGATAGAAATTTATTTTTTTTTTTTTTGGTTTTTGCGTTCCCTCGCAAAATGTTTTGCGTTCCCTTGCAAAACTGTTGTTTGACAAACACTTTCTGTTCACTTCATACATGTCAACCCTCTCGTTTTTGCCGGGATTCACCCGTATTTTACCATTTTATTCCGCTATCATCCTATCAATAAGTATTTACCTTATTTCTCCCATATTTTTATTCTTGAAATAACATTGAAATAAATATAAAAAATGTCAGCATTTACTTTCTTTCCATTAAAGCTGGGCGTAGATAATAAACAGATCCCAGATCAGCTTCTGTACACACAAAGATGAGCTAAAGTGCAGGACACTTTGGGAATTGGGTGTGTGTTTAAACAGACAAATTCATTTAATAGTATGTAAACATGTCTGTCCTGTGTGTTTTATATTTAACACAAATTTTCCCTTAAATATTCACAAACAGTTATTAAAGTAATCAAATGCTTTCATTATAGATCCGTGCAGTCTTGAAGTAACACCTCTGTTATCAAACAAAACAAAATGAGAGATTCAACTGCTGCTCTACACTTGTTTGATAACAGAGGTGTCACTTTAAATGGCATGTACAGAAGCTGATCTGAAATGAGTTTATCACACAAAGAGCGAACAACAGTTTTGCGAGGGAATGCAAAACATCTTTGCCAAGAAACACAAAAATAATCCTTTCTGGTTTTCAAGAGTTCACACTTAACTGATGATTGATTATAAAGCTTGTTTGGCATGCTGTCCCGGGAGAGAGCCCTGAGCTCATAAGATCCTCGAGCCCGGGGCTCACTCCCGTTGAAAGGCGGGAGGGGAGTTTGAGCTCAGGTAGATCTCGAGAACTCCCCTGCTGTAGTAACCAATGAACAGTAAGTGATAGCTCTTGGTAGACAACTACATACTAGAAGCATGTCTATGATGCTGATTTCGATTAGTCGATTAACTTAAGTTGCATGTTTTTGGTCGGTGGGAGGAAACCAGGGAACCCGGGGGAAACTCACGTGAACACGGGGAGAAAGTGCAAACTCCACACAGAAACGTCTGCTGGTTTGGTAACGCCTGGAAGCAGAGACGTTCTTGCTGTGAGGCAACAGTGCTAAGCACTGGACCACCGCGTCACCCATCTAGGAAGGAGGAGGAGTAGGGGTGGAAGGGGAGATTCTTCAAAACGAAGATAGCAGTGGAATGTAACCCAGGGTATTTGTAGTAGTTTAAGAGTCGTCTGATTGGTGCATTGTGAATTGGATAATGCGGATCCAGCCACTAGCAATCATAAGCACGTGATCCTCTCGAAATTAGTTTGCAAATAAACTTCACTTCCGTAGTAGACCATAAGGACGAAAAAAATTATGGAAACAAAAAATTATAAAAAAGTACTAAAATATAAATTTGTCTTCATAAAGCTATAAGCAAATTCTAATTGTCTTTTTTTCTTGGAAACAGGTTGATGGCCATGGAAACCTTTGGAGAAAAAAAAAACACTCTGCCAAGTTTTAATAGGTGTTTATGAACATATAGATGTTGGTTCTGTCGAGGGCAACATTACTCATTGAGTGCCAAGCAAATTATAGCCACCACAGATATGTCAAAGATATGCCACAGATACTCACCCTTAAGTGGTTCCAAACCGTGATATGTTTTTTCTTCTGTTGAACACCAAAGAAGATTTATTGAAGAAAGTCTATTGACTTCTAGTAAGAAAAACAAATACAGGTTACAATAGGTACAGGATTTCAGCTTTCTTTTAACAGGTTTGGAACAAGTAAAGAGAATTTTTGGGTGGACCAGGGGTGGACATTTCCCAAAGGCCTGACGGTCAATCGTCAATCTGGCCTGCCCCACAAACTGTGTTACATTGTCCATTGTACAAGTGATAATTGCTTAAAATCTTTTTAACCTTAAGGTCTCATAAGATGGGTGTTTCTTCTTCACTGATGTGCTGTACCACAGGGGTACAAAAGAGTTTGGGACACTGTAAAGGTCAGACAGCTATTGATCTGTGTTCAGGTTCAGAATAGGTGAACTGTACATTGGCATTTGTTTAAATGATCTATTTATGAATTGGAAATCTGAATCATCCTCTTACATGGCCATATTGTTTACATGCACTGAATCCATTAAGAGATACAAAATCTAGTGTAAATTTGTAATTGAGTCAAATGAATAAAACTTTAATTATTTTTGTGATCTCATAGGAATCAATGTGTGGATGTCAAATGGATGTTAAGATTTTGACATCAAATCCTTTTGCATTTTTAGCATGTTTTTAATGTCAATGTTTGATTGTCATTTTGACATCAAGGTGTCCACTGAGTTATATAACTGGACATTGTTACAATTCTATGTTTGTCTTGTCTCATCTGTTTTGTTTTGTTTTTTTGTTTGTTCCTGTTTTGCTTAGAACACATCCAATTGGCCACTTCCAGCTTGCTTGATCCTGATTGGTCTACAGTGTTTTAAAAAGCCATGACACCACTTCCTTGGCAGCCATCTTGTTTTTGGTGACTTGCTTGTGTTTGTTGAAATGTTTGAATGTGGTATAGTGCAGAGTTTTTGGATGTGTTAGGACTGGGAATATTGAGATTTGTGAGTACTGTTTGTTTTGTTTGACTTCTGAGATAATATTGAGATTTGTGAGTACTGTTTGTTTTGTTTGACTTCTGAGATAATATTGAGATTTGTGAGTACTGTTTGTTTTGTTTGACTTCTGAGATTATAATGAGAATTGTGAGTACTGTTTGTTTTAGTGTTTGCTTTGTTTATGATACTTTGTTCCACCGGCTTGTTTGACCTTTGTTGCCTGCTGACATTGATTTTGGATTGTCCTTCAAATATGGTTGCCCGTTTTTGTAAATAAATTGCAAATAGTGTATATATTGGGATAGTAAGGAGTTTGATGCCATTTTCTTTGTAAAACCTTTTGGCCTCTGTTTTTGTGTTAGGTAGTTAGGGTAGTGAATTGTACTTTCTTTTCTTTAATTTTTGATCAGGTAAGTTAGAGATTTAATATTAAGGAATTTTTGTTTGTTATTTCGGCCTTGTCAGCTCCCGAATTCAAACCGCAATAAATCTTTAAATTCATTTTTGTTGTCTTTCATGTTGTGCACCATCCCTAGACGGTGCGTAACAACATGAACATATACTGTAGGAAAATATTGTAAAACACAGAAAAATTAAGATTTTAGAAGTAATTTTCCAATGCCACTTGGCATTGAGGTTTTTGAATCTAAACTCTTCATATATTGCCATGTATCATTTTTTTCTGTATGGGAAGAATTCACTGTAATAAAAGTGAGTGAGAATAAGGCAAAGTCCAAAAAAAAAACATGAGCAGAGAATATTTTATTCAAATGAGAGATAATGATTTGACAGTAAAAGAAATTACATAAAAGTAATAAATCTAATTAGTTTTTGAGCTGTCAACATGTAGGCTATGTTGGTACCAAAACAACATTCAAATCGGGCAATCAGAATTAAGTGATACAGTTACAGTACTTAAACATGATTGATATCTAATTATTATTCCTCTGTAATTTGAGGAATAATTTAAAGTTAGTTTTAAGATTAGGGGTAGGAATTTAGGGGTATGGATTACTTTTTTGAACAAAAATGTTAATTCCATGATCAACATAGATGTTAATCCAAGATCGGATTGTACTTTGCAAAATCCCACCTACCTCCCTGCTTTACCCGGGGTAGCCACTGCAGAATGAACCATTAATTACTCTGGCAACCAAACACTTATCCATATTGCCGCCTCTTTATTCATCGGGAAGTTTTGCATTTCCTTCTATGGTTATAAGTAAAAATGTTTGAAATACCTTTCCAGTGATGGTCTCACTGTAGCTGTACTCGATGATTTTCAAGTAGGATGAAGCTGTACTCAATGATTGACATTTAGATGAATATGAAAGTATGTGCTGCTCTATTTCCTCTCTGACAAAAATAACCACAAATATGAGAGCGGTGAGAAAGCAGCTGTTGAGTTACTCTATCACATTGATGTTTGACGCTTGAATTCACCAGCATTACATACACAGAAGGGGTAGCTTAATTAAAATCACATTGCTAAGATAGTTCGATTATAGAGCTTATTTTAGATTAGACTAGTTTAAATTAATCTGTTTCTTTCCATGACGCATTGGCGTTACTTTATAGAGTACATTTTCAACATCCTTTAAAACATATTTTTATTGTCATTTAACTCAAGCCAATATTGTAGTTTATATATATATATATATATATATATATATATATATATATATATATATATATATATATATATATATATATATAAAATTTATTTTTGGCCTTTTTTGCTGGACAGTATTGAGACAGGAAGCAAAGTGGGAGAGCCGGGATTTGTACTCGCGATGCCCTCACGTGCTATTGCACCATGTGTCGGGGCGCTAACCACTAGGCTATTGCGCCGACAATATTGTAGTTTTTTGTCAATATTATTATTGTAGTCAATATTATTAGCCCCTTTAAGCTATTTCGTCGTTAGTTTACAGAAAAAAACATCATTATACAATAACTTGCCTAATTACCCTAACCCAGGGATGGGCAAACTTGATCCTCGAGGGCCGGTGTCTAGCTACAACCCTATTCAAACAGACCCCCCTATAGAGTTCAAGTGATCTTGAAGACACTGATTAGTTTGTTCAGGTGTGTTTGACTAGTGTTGGACAAAAACTCTGCAGGGACACCGGCCCTCGAGGATCAAGTTAGCCCATCCCTGCCCTAACCTGTCTAGTTAACCTAATTCACCTAGTTAAGCCTTTAAATGTCACTTTAAGCTGTATGAAAGTATCTTGAAAAATATCTAGTCAAATATTATTTATTGTCATGATGGCAAAGATAAAATAAATCAATTATTAGAAATAGGTTATTAAACTATTATGTTTAGAAATGTGTTGAAAAAAACAGAAATTGTGAAAACAAATAAACGGAGCTAAAATTCCAACAGAGTCGTGGCTGATGCCAGACCCTTCTCAATAATTCTGACTTCAGCTGTAGCCTATTTGCAAATTCTTCTTCCTCCTTAAAAATCATGTATAGGGAAGAGTTTGTTTATATCTTGTGCTGCAAGGATGTTTTTTTCTTCTTTTTTTTCCTTGTCGGTATGTCGTTTTGCAGGTACGCCATCACTTGCATTTTCTTTTCTTTTTTGCATGGTATATAAAATGTCCAGCAGGGAGACACACAATATCAAACATCCTTGCATTAAAGAGACAGCTCTGCTAAAAATGAAAATTCACTCGCCTTCAATTGGTTCCAAACATTTAAAAGTTTCTTTTTCCTGTTGAACACAGAAGACAATTTGAAGAATGTTGGAGTCAGCAGCCATTAGCATCAATAGTAGGAAAAAGGCGACTGCTTACCTCTCAGTGAGGGTGAACTATACTTTTTAAATAATATATTTTATTTAACATTTATAAGATTTTTAACAGCAATGCAAATAACAAAACAATACAGTATTATTATTATTATTATTAATAATAAATTAAATAATAATAAAAAGAAGGGATCATCTCTATCTCAAAGAAATATATACAGTTTTAAACATATAACATGACAATACTCGCACTGATTTTACAAAGCCAGCGACATATATATATATATATATATATATATATATATATATATATATATATATATACACACGTTTCAAATAAAAGCGAGGATTGACAAACTTAAATTTCTAGATTCCAAATAGTCTTAAGATGTGTTTAATTGTGGCTTCAGCTTTTTCCTGTGGGGTTTCAAGGAGTGTTTGCTCCATTTGAATAAAAAACAAACTGGTTCAACCATAACAGGGAGACTTTGGATATTTCCAATTAAGTAAGATCATCTTTTTAGCTGTAATCATGTTAACCATCAGGACTTGCTGTTGAGTTAAAGGGAGGGCTTCAATTATATTAGAATATCCAAAAATAGGTGAACTATACTTATAGGGATTAAAAAGTCATGTTATAATGAAAATAATAATAATTTGACAGTGGAGACTAAAAGTTACAATGAAGCAGTAGACTATTACTAACCATATATACATACAAAATATCAAGGCAACATATTTTTCCAGAGCCAAAAACAATAAAGAGTCAGAGAAAATGATCAATAATTTATTAAATACCAACAAAAACTTGTTGAATAACATAAGTGAAAGATATTGGAGATTTTCAGTCTCACAATAAAGACAAATGGGAAAAGCAACATGGGCAACAAAAAATCTTTTCATATAAACATTTATTGTGCCATAAATTATATACAACATTCCAACAACATTTCCATAAAGATACATTCAATGCAAAAAAAAAAAAAAAAGAAGCTGAATCAAACTAACCTTATGAGTCCATTGTACTTATATTATGTTAAACTGACAATCAGCTTGCATAACTTATAAAATTAAGTTAGAACAAGATTAACTTAGTTTAGTAAGTTACAATGACCTAAAACATATAGGACTAATTGATGATAGAATTTCTTACAGTGTAATAATGTTATTTTATTAGTGATGCTGATTAGAAACTATAATGATAAGATGGATATCTTGGTAAACATTACAATATGTGACAATATATCCATCTTTTTCTTTCCATTAGAAATAGCTAATTTAAATAGCATTGTGTTTAATCACAAAATACATCAAAAGAGATGTAAAAACAATGGCATCGTATGATATAAATGCATAATAAAATGACCAGTCGATAGTAAGTATTTATAACCCCTGATTCTGACATATTGTTTATGATTTTCTTCATTTTAAGGACCACCGCCCGCAGGCATCTTTGCAGTAGTGTAATAAGACTTCATAAATTTCTAGTGCGAATAAGAGCAATTTGTAAATCCCGTTCTTTCATTTCTCTGGACATTTGACACCAAACACAGGGTCTGCAGAATGTGGACAACACACAGTCATTACACATGGTGCCCTGCAACAAAAATAAAAGAACAAAAAAAGTTAGGTTGGTAAAGTTTTCAACAACAAAAGTTGCCAGATCTCATAATACAAAATTAGTAAATAAATGGGAAGAACCTGCTAATTAACAGATATTTTACTAGTAACAAATATTAAATTGTAATTGACTTTTACATTTTTTATTAGTGTTTAATTATTAGGATTCTACCACTTATTTTCTCTTGGTTTTAATACTCCTTAAATAATGTTTTTTTTTTAACAGTTACATAACAGAACAGTTTTTTTAACAGAACAGTTCCTGTTACATTTTACTTTCTTCTCTCTTTAATAATCCTATGTACAGCACTTTGGTCAACTTAGGTTGTTGGTGCCCTAATGTATAATAATATTGTATTGTACTTATTTATTACTAGTTTGGAACTAATCAGTACTTGAATCGATGAATAAATACTAGTATCTGATAAATAAATCTTAAAATCTTATAAAATAGTATGTATAATAGTACTTGGTGTTTTTTTTAGTACTTTTTCTTAATAAATAAGTAAATGATGTACTACTCACAACTGGAATACACATTAGGTAGCAACAGTTTACATAAATAAAAACATTAAAAAACTTAAAAACCTAAACCCAAATCACATTTACAATATGTCAAAGAAATGATGTCTTAAGATAAGCTCAATGTCATTTAATAATAGAAGCTTAACAAGCTTTTTGTTTTGTTGACCCAGAATTATATCCATTTGAACCTTAAAATATAAAATATTGCATTTTGAAACATAAGTTATTAATGCAATCTGACACCTTCTGAAGATTAAGTAAAAACACAAACAATATTAATAAATTATGTGTTTGCAACCATTATAAAACGCAATGAAATATGGAAAACAACATAATTTTTTGTATTAATACATATAAAGAGGTTAACATGAAAACAAATAAAGTTAAAACAGAATAATTGATATCTCTATGAAAGATCTTTATAGAAGTAATTGGCTGTTTTTTTTTTTTTTGTATTATTTGTCACTCGTTACAATATAATAGTTATTAGTATGAAACAAGTACTATGTACTAGTATCTAATAAATAAGAACTAGTATATAATAAATTAAACCAGTGCTAGTATGATTTAAAAACAAACCTGCTGACTAAATTAAAATGACTAGTACGTAATGGGAAAATACTAATATCATAAAAATTAAAAATGACTCATTTACTCATCCTCAAGTGAATCCTAACCTTTATGAGTTTCTTTTTTCGGTTGAACATAAAAAAAATATTTTGAACAAAGCTGAAAACCTGCAACCATTGACTTCCGCTTCCATGTAAACAATTGCTGTGTTCCACACAATCGATTTGTGTTTGGACAAAATAAAGGAATTGGATTTATTATTTTTGAATTATTATTATTATTATTATTATTATTATTTTACAAATGTAAATGGATCGAAAATTTAAAAATTAAGTTATGCTACCAAAAAAACTCAAGAATTCTGTTGTTTTACCTAATTTTAAATAAGTAGTTTAAACAAAGAGAAAACGTCGTTTAAGCGTAGGAAAAAATACTATGGAAATCGCTGGCTACTGGTTTACAGCTTTCTTTAAAATATCCTCCTTTGTGTTCAACAGAAAAAAGAAAAAAATGATGGGTTTAGAACAAACGAAGGGGGAGTAAATAATGACTGAATTTTCATTTTTGGCTGAACTGTCTCTTTAAAGCATATACTTTGGAATTTACAGTTACTGTGAAATAATCTATCAATTTAAAATTCTACTTGTGGATCTCACCTGTATGCCATACCGCTGTCGCATCGAGGTCCTAATCGACATGGTGATGGGTGGAATCATTCCGCCACAGAAGATATCCAGCAGAGGGAGACATAAACACTCACCATAGTTTCTGGCTTGAATGCATGTGTAACACGAGAAACACCAGAAAGCAAAGCAACCTGACATCATATAAAAAATAAATAAATAAAAAGACACAATAATAACATGTATTAGAATATTTTGCATGTTATTGCAACACAAACTACAAACTATATAGCCTTTTAGTTTAATGTATTAGCGGGAAGCTCAAAACGTGTTGTTGTTTTAAGATGGTTCTGATGACAGCAGCATTTCTCACAAAACTTTTGTGAGATGAAATGAAGACATACAGGTTTATAGTTGCGGTGAATCATTCCTTAACATTCCACTTGTTTTTGTAAAAGGCTTATACGTATGTAAAATATACTTACATTCAGGCACGTCATCGCAGCAGTCACAAATATCTGAACCCCAATGATCAGAATGGGCAGAGATCATTGTAGGCTGGGGCTGTGTTATTACCATTACATTCGACATGCTTACAGCTAAAAATGTACAACAGGCAGAGAAACATAATATGATTTTAGTATGACAAAAGCATACATAAGCAATAATAATGCTAAAACCTTATTTATTTTAAATGTACAATGTGAAAAATGTCAATAAACTTTTTTTTTGTAATTCACAGTTCTCTGCTTGATTGTGAATTTCATTTTTGGACCATTTTCTCTGCTCTGTCCACTCGTGATGTTAAAAAATCAACTCTAAAGTGACTTTTATTGACATTTTAGTAGTTTGAATTTAAATATAATGGATAAGAAATAATATGTACATAAAGAAGTTTGTAAAATAACAGACTTAATATAATGAACTGATAAAAATGTTCATAAAAGTCACTTTTTTAAGTTAAAAGTTGTTGGATGAAACATCAATGTCCCATGATGTAATTCAAAAGTATAAATAAATGAGGGAAATTAAAAAAAAAAAAAAAAAAACTAGAAACATGAGTTAAAAAAAACAGAAAACTGCTAATAAAATCTGCTAATATTTTTTTACAGTGCCATATATAGGTCAAATATAGTGATTGGAAAGATATTCAGAAAGTCTAAAGATGAAATGACATTTATTAGTCATTAAATAAACATTTAATTGTTATTGTTCTAAATAAGCCTGACGATTTTTTTTTTTTTTTGGAATATAAACTACTGTTACAGTGAACATTTTAGTCAGTGTGTTCTGTAAATCATGGTCAATTTTTTCTTTTTGCCCAGAAAAAAAGCTATGGCATATTATAATGTATAAAAAACAATTACCTAAAATTCAACCCTGTAATACACTTTTATTGTTATTAAAGCATCTTTTACTCATATAACATTATATGCATATTAACACTTTAAAATCCTAATAGATTAATCCATCATTCACAGTGAAAATAGTAAAAATATATACAAAATATGTAAAGTATTAAAAAATACAAAGCGCAGATGATAAGAGTACTTCAATATGATCTGTATCAGAAAGTGTACACTCACCTTTTTGATGGCAGATCCAACGTCATGGAAAGTATCTACTGTTTCTAAATCTGCGATTAGTATCTTGCCTTTATACAGGAACAAAAGGAGAAAAGTATTCACTCTAAAGATAAACTTCCTCGACCTGCTCAACCAGTTCAGTTCAGGGTTTTTAGGCATTACGCTTAAAAAATCACTCATGAAACAGGGTGGAGAGCAACACTGAATGCTCTATTGCATATAAAAAAATTACTGATATGGAAAAATATACAAGTGTTGATGAAAATCATCAATTCAATCATTCGAAAGCGCTCATTACAAAGAATCATTACAAGTATTTTGAAATTGTTCAATCTAAGAAAGCAGTTTGGCAATTGGACAAATTACTCTCCATCACAACTAAATCAGTAAACTTCCTCATTGAGATTCAGTGAGGTTTGTGTCGTATGACAGCAGTGTTTTTAAGGCCTTTCGAACTGTCTCTGCTGAGGTAAAGGAATGTTAGCAGTAACATCAATTAAACATGTCCCATAAGTGCCTCTTCCTCATTAAAAATGCAATATTTTAAGGACTGACCCGGTTACATACTGCAAACTGTTTTGACACCATGCAGAAATACTGAAATGAATATGAGAGTCATTATATGATCTTTAACAAAGGCAAATGGTTGCTTTTGTTTTCAGAGGTTAAAAGTTGCAAGATTCATCAGTAAATATTTCAAGCATTTTTTGTGTTGCTGAATACCAGCGAAGTACTAGTATATAATAGATATATATAGTGAGGGAAGTAAGTATTGACCATGTCATGTTTTCCTAGTGATATTTCTAAAGGAGCTGTTAACATGAAATTAAACCAGACTTTGATGAAAAAATCAAACAATGCAAATACAAAAAATCTGAAAAAAAAAAAAAGTTATGTGTAATAACAATGTAATGACAAAACTACTAGCCCAACATTGGCTGCCTCCACATAATTTGGACACGTACAAGTGGTTGGTACAACTTCAGGACATTATAATGTTGAAATGATCCACAGCTCGAGTAAACTTGTTACAAATAAGTACAGTAAATATCTGGACTGCAGCTGCTGACAAAATCTCCATGTTTATTTTTCAAAGCAATGATCAGGATCCAGAATGATTGCCTTATTTTGTATAATTGATACTTGATCCTTTTGTTTTTTGTTTTTTCTTTTAACTTCTATTCATTGGATACCCTGGTTTAGAGAAGCTGCATGGGGTAGTTTAATTTATTTATTTCATTATATTGTTTTTTATGTTTTGTTAACAATAATAATTAAAATAAAATAAAATAAACAATGGAATGACACAACGAGAAAGCACTGAACTATTGAAATGTATTTAATACTTCATTTAAAAGGCTTTTTTGGTAATGGCAGCTCAAAGACACCTCTCATATGTAGAATTAAGTTACATGAATTGCTCAGGTGTGTTTTTTTCAAAGAGTTACATAGGGTGTAAAAGTCTTGATGGTTCTGTGGGTCTCGACTATTAAATCTGATCTTTAATTTGTATTTGTGATTGAATTCAAGTTAGGTGATTGGCTGGGCCATTCTACAGCTTTATTTTCTTTTTCTGAAACCCTTTGAAAGTTTCCTTGGGTGTGTTTTGGATCATTGTCTTGCTGAAATGTCCACCCTGGATTCATCTTCATCATCCTCGTAATGTAGATATTGTACTGTAGCAGCTAATATTTATTTACAATGAAAAAGGGCAGAGGGTTGCTGAATAACTTCTGAGAGATTTTAGAAGGCATTATTTATCATTAATGATCAATTTAAAGAGTTGTGTATATATATATATATATATATAGGTATGATGAAATTTCAATTAATGGCTGTTTGCAATAGGATGTACTTTTGGATCTGTTATATAATGTACAACTGGAGTCAAACATGTTTTATGTCAAAGATGCCAAAAGGAAAATAAAATATGTCTCATGTAAAGCTCATATATGTATCATGTAAAAAGAAGAGATAAGTAAAAGAGGAAATAAGTTGAAGTAATAAATGAATGATGTGTGTGATAATGGGTGGGGAAAATACAACGCTTGTGCTTCATCCCGCTCCATTTCGACTGTGTTGAAATATATTTTGTTTAAAGTGTTGTTTTGTGTATGATTTTCTGTTCGAAATAAAATAAATAAAATCAAATTTAAATATGGGCAACGCACTGGAGCAGTAGGTAGTGCTGTCGCCTCACAGCAAGAAGGTCACTGGTTTGAGCCTTAGCTGAGTCAGTTGGCATTTCTGTGTTTGAGTTTGCTTGTTCTTCCTGCGTTCGTGTGGGTTTCCTCCTGGTGCTCCGGTTTCCCCCACAGTCCAAAGACATGCAGTACAGGTGAATTGGTTAGGCAAAATTGTCCGTAGTGTATGTTTGTGTGAATGAGTGTGTATGTGTTTCCCAGTGATGGGTTGCAGCTGGAAGGGCATTCACTGCATAAAACAAAAAATCTAATTTAGCTGTTGTCTGGGCTTTCACTGCTTTTCTACACCTCCCTTTCTTCGTGTGTTCAATAAATTTTCTCTGCGTCATTTCATTTTATTACACATAACTTCATTTGTAAACTTATTAGATTTGCTTCATTTGCATATATTTTTTTTTTGGTTGTTACCAACATCAAAATTTCAAACCAACAGCACCTTAAGAAATATGTTTTCTAAGAAAAACGGAGACATGCTCAATACTTATTTTCCAACTGTGTGTGTGTGTGTGTGTGTGTGTGTGTGTGTGTGTGTGTGTGTGTGTATATATATATATATATATATATATATATATATATATATTCAACTGTAAACATAGTTGAAGTCAGAATTATTGCCCCCCCTGTTTATTTTTTTCCCCAATTTCTGTTTAACAGAGAGCAGATTTCTTCAACACATTTCTAAACATTATAGTTTTTTGTTTTATCTTTGCTATGATAACAGTAAAAAATATTTTACGAGATTTTTAAGACACTTCTACACAGCTTAAAGTGACATTTATAGGCTTAACTGGGTTAATTAGGTTAACTAGACAGGTTAGGGTAATTAGGCAAGTCATTGTATAACGACGGCTTGTTCTGTAGACTGTCTAAAAAAAAAAAAAGCTTAAAGGGGCTAGTAATTTGGTCCTTAAAATGGTGTTTAAAACATTAATAACTGCTTTTATTCTAGCTGAAATAAAACAAATAAGACTTTCTCCAGAAGAATAAACATTATTAGACATGCATAGAAAATTTCCTTGCTCTGTTAAACATAATTTGGGAAATATTTAAAAAAGCAAAAAAAATTCAAAGGGGGGCTACTAATTCTGACTTCAGCTGTTTATATAATTTTATTTGTTTCTATCCTCTTGTGTCATTTAATTTTGAGGTATGCGATGCAGGATCTTTAGCTGTTATGAAATCTGTATTTATCGAAGGCATGAATTAAAGAAGCACATGGTGACCTGTGTCCCCTTCAGTAATCTCAGAGACAGATGAGCATGACTACAACTTTCTCTACAGATTTATTAGTTTGCTTCCAGGATTAAACGGGGTAAATATTAAGCTGGAGTACAGATGTGCTTACAGGAGTCATGATGTAACAGGGTGTGGGATCAAGATATTTTTGAGTGATCACGAAATGCTCTTTCTGTCTCTGTTGAAATGTTTGAAAATACAACATCTATTCTGAACAATTAGAATACAATAAATGAAACTGCTTCTGAAGTGTTGAAAAGATGTTCCAGGGGTTTTAGGGTGTGTTCACTCTTGGCAAGCTATGGTTCATAACAAATGCTGCTGTGATTGCTCTTTTAGTGTGGTTTATTCGATTAAATGTGAACTCTGCCCTCCAAACCCTGGTGTACACCAAACGAGTGGATCTCGGTCTGCTTCCAAACAAGCTCTAGTACAGTTTGACAGAATATTGAATGCAACACAGATCAAATGCATTTAAATGAATATAAAACAGGACAAGAATTTACAACATGCAATCAGGAAAGTATACGCAGCATACCTGACTTCACTCATCATAGTTGCTGTTGACAAACAGCTTAGTAGGTGTTGTAAAAGATTTCCATTTGCTGTGCTGACTCATTTTTAAGACATTTTCTAAGGAAGTTCTCCTTTGATAAAAATAAGCACAGAAGAATATTTGGTTCAGTACTAGAGGAAACTTGTTTTAATGTTGAAAATAAATAAATAAATAAATAAATAACTCTGAGTGGAATTAATATCAGTTTAATATGAAGATCACATCATTTATACTTTACTGTAACAACAAAACGGTAAGAAATATATTTGGTGCTATTGTTTATTGGATTATTAAGTGACTCAATCCTTTGTTGTACTTTTTAAAATAAAAAAAAGATTTTGTGATAATTGTGTATCCTATAATTTATTGCCGGCGACGCAGTGGCGCAGTAGGTAGTGCTGTCGCCTCACAGCAAGAAGGTCGCTGGTTCGAGCCTCGGCTGGGTCAGTTAGCATTTCTGTGTGGAGTTCTGTGTGCATGTTCTCCCTGTGTTCGCGTGGGTTTCCTCCAGGTGCTCCGGTTTCCCCCACAGTCCAAAGACATGCGGTACAGGTGAATTGGATAGGCTAAATTGTCCATAGTGTATGAGTGTGTGTGAGTGTTTACTGTGTATGGATGGGTTTCCCAGAGATAGGTTGCAGGTGGAAGGGCATTTCCTGCGTAAAACATGTGGTGGATAAGTCGGCAGTTCATTCTGCTGTGGCAACCCCGGATTAATAAAGGGACTAAGCTGAAAAGAAAATGAATGAATGAATAATTTGTTGCCATAGTAACTTATTGTTTCATTGATTACAACGACCTTTTCCTTGTTTAGTACAGCATGCCTGTGTCATTACCATAATTTTAAGATGACAACACATGCTCTACTCACAGCTGTTTACATCTTTGGACTCTGAATTCTGTATTTATAATGAATCTATGACACTCATGTGGTATAATGGTCATGTGGTGCATTGTAGCTCTCTTAAAATTTCACAGTTTACAATGGAAGTCATTACAAGTAATTATAAGTTGTACACGTATGTGAATGCTATTTCTGAATCTTGTAATTATAGTACAATGATATTACATGAATGAAAAGCAAGGCAATTCACAAGATTCAGCAGACCATGAAACC